CATGGCCGCGAGCAGGCCCTGAGCCCCAGCAGCCAGACCTCCAGCAGCGGGGAGATGTGCTCAGGGCCCGGTGGCTGCCTGGACACGGCGCTCTGGGTAAATCTCTATTTTATACCAGATGAGCCAGGAGTCCACGCTGTAGCTCAAATAACCATCTCTGCAAATTCAAAATTTTCTTCTGGAAAAATATTTCGTCATTTGTTATTACATTATCCCAGACCAGGACTTCCTGACTCCTCTCAGAATTTGAACCTCCATTTTTTTTCTAATATATCATCTCACAGCTATTCCCCTTCCTATACCTGATCATGCACTCAGCTTGTCCACCAGTTGCACATCACAGCATTTACTGACACCGCAGTGTAACAGCAAGTTTCCGTATCTATAAATCTGACTTAGAAGCACCATGAAACAGAGGAGAGTCGATGTAACGTCCATTCCATGCTCACCAGACAGCTGGGCTATGGGGAAGGCAGGCGGAGAGCCCCTAAGGGCAGCTCAGTGCTGCCTGGTGGCTCTCCGAATGGAGGCAAACCCGGCTGCAGCGCTGCGCCTTGGCCATGCCTCGGTCGAATGCAGCGCTACCAGAGACGTCTTGCTTCGACTCTCCAGCTGGGGCCTCTCCAAGAGACTACGCTGCACTTCGTGGAGAAACCTGCTCCGCTGGCGCCAGCTCGCATGCCTGTTGCATGGTATAGCAAAGCTGGCATGAGAAGAGAGGAATAGTCTCACATTTGCTAAATGTACCAAACATTTGCTACGGGAGAGAGCCTGTCAGGAGACAAATCAGTTTTCTGTAACTATTCCCAAAATCAGCTTGTCAAGCAAGGTGCTTGTGGAGCATCTTGGATTTAGCTTGGCCTCCAAACACATAGGCAAACTAAGGGCTGCCTGGTTTCGGGCCAGTCTCCTACCATGAAGCAGAAACACCTCTGGTTTTGCTAGTATATAAAATGAAGTAAATATTTCCTTCCATTTGGGTGAAACATAGCAAATCCAGTAGGGATCAGTCAGAACTTCAGTTTCTTTTACTCTAAGGATGCATTTTAGCATAAAGAATTTAGAGTTTCTTAAAGCAGGAACTTCAAGATTAATCTTGCTATGGATTAAACTGTAGAACTGATGCCATAAGAAAGTATTTATGAAGCACAAACTCCTCAAGCCAAGCAGGAAATGTGTCAGATCAAAACTTTGAAAACAGACGTTTTAATACAAGTGATTTTTATAAATGAACTAACAAATCTTAAAGTGAAGTTGGATCTGATGCTGAAGTGACAGACTTGTAAAGCAGGGTGCAGGCTTGTATGAGGAGATTAAATCGTCTGTTCTGCTGTTAGTCTGGTCCATGAGATAGCACCCACTAGTCAGTATGGAGAACTGTGTGCCCTGGAGACCTGCAACCGTCAAAAGAGGACGTTACACCCTTGTTCTGCAGTCTTTGGCAGGAAAAAGCAAACAATACGGTGTTACGTTTGATCCTCAATCAAAAAACCAAAAACGCTCGTGAAGAAGCTACAAAGGATTTCCAATTGGTTGTAAAATTTCTTTTGAAGCTTAGATGACTCATCATCTGAATCAAATTCTGCCCCATTTGTAGTAAACAGTGCCCTGTGTGGCATTCACTCTTTCAAGAAATACTAACTGGAAATGAAGTACTTCAATTTAAAGCTTTACATTTCTTCTCCCTTTTACCCAAAGGCTTCAAAGCGCTTTATAAGTGTGACTTAATAAAATCTCTCCAGCATTCCTGAGAGATCAGCAGATGGATCTAAAACTACCTCAAACGGTAGATAAACTCCTAGGCGGTGTGACCGACTTCAGGGGATGACCCCAGAAATGGGCGGCAGGCTTCAGCGAAGTACTGGGGACGGGGGGAACTCCCACACGCACCCCCGAGTTTCAGGAGGCTGCAGAGCTGTGCAGGTCTCTTCCTTTGCATCGGCTTCATGAAACACCAGACACAGACACCCTGCTTCCTAGGCGTGCAGTCTGCATCTCGGTTTGGGTGAGAAACGTGGCCAAAAGCACTCAATGCTAATGCAGTCTCTCCCAAAGTCCTGTGAGGAGGATCGCTTGCGCTGGGAATAAACCTCCTTAGCCATGTGCAGGAACGACTCTCTCCCCTCGTGTAGCACATGATAATAGTATTATTGTGAACAGTGTTTCATGGTCACAAGGGAGTGAGCTAATTGCAGATACAGCTCTTGGAGAAGTAATTGCCTTGTACTCTTTTTTTTCTTTCCCTGGCTCATTTCTTTCCTTTCTTGCCTTTCCTGGGTGAGGCCTGAAGCATGTTTCCTGAGAGAGGAGTAAGAGAGGTCAGCGGCAGACCCCACACTACCTTCCAGCTGGAGCAAAAGGCTTTCAGTCTGTGACATAAAGCCGTCGAAAAATCGTTATTCCCTTCCATAAAGCAACAAAAAGCACGTAAGAGTCTTCAGCGGCAGTTCCCCCAAACGCTAACGCACAAACGCTCCCGTGCCCTGGGATTTGAGGGCTGCCGCCGAGGAGGGCCCGCGATCCGGGGCAGGCAGCCCAAACGTTTCTGGGGAAAGCGGCCCCGCTGCCTCAGGGCAGCTGCCCCGGCCGTGCCAGCGCCGCCCTGGCCGCCCGCCCGGCCGAGGCTGCCCTACCTCCCGCCCGGGGGAAGGGGGCGAGTTTATTTTCAGCCCCATCCCCGAGGGGCACGGGCAGGCTGCCACAGGCGGGTGTA